CTTGGCATATTATTTGTTGATGGCGAATTGGTTGGTGAACCGGGTTGATAACCGAGCGAAGGTGTCAATCGACCCTATGGGTAGAGAATTGAACCAATTCATTGCCCTCTTGGAGAGAGTGGTGCGGAACATTTTACACATCGCAGCATCCGTCGGGCCATATAAATCCGCCATGGCACTGAATTTCTCTATATGCTCCTGTGGGTCGGTGGTCCCTTCAAATTGAGGTAATCCCGAGATCTTTACTCCTTGAGGTAATACCTCGTTGAGAATGTCTATGGTGAAGGGACTGCGTCTTGTTGGGACAGGCATTCTTTCACCCATTGGATTATTTGGTTGGGGGAAAAGATTTTGGCGAGACATTCTGCTGTTTATCTCGCATTCTCCCTCATTAAAGAGAGGGACTCTCTGTGGTGACACATTCCCCCGTGGGGGTGAGCGCTGACGCTGCTGTCTGGGCTGTGCCCCTCTGTGATTAGTAGATAGCTGCACTCGGGACCGTGGGTCCGAAGTAGAGGAGGAGACACTTATTTGATTCTGAATTGGCGGTGGGGCCACAGGTGGCACTATAGGTGGAGCTGGCGCTGGAATCGCATTGGGAGCGTTTGCTCCCATCGTGGCGATATATTGAGTTACGGCCTCCGTAGCGGCCCGAGTTGAGGCTTCTGCTATCATGCGTTGGAGCGCGTTCTCGGTTATTTGAACCGTTCGAGGAGCAGGGAGTGGTGGATCGGCGAGTGTTTGGTCCCGAGGAGGGATCACCTGAACCTCGCGAGGTGGATCTGCAGCACGTGGAGGAAGTGGCTCCACGCGTGAAGGAGGTGGCTCCGCGGCGCATGGAGGAGGTGGCATGCCAGATCCTCCACGGACTGGGAGGTTATTAGCTGTGTCATTTTCTCTCCGAGCTGACGCCTCAGGAGGATCTTGTTGGCTACGTGATCTGGTTTGCATCGTTCCCACAGCCGGCGCCAAAATGATGATGCTAAAATATAGCTCACCTAGGGTAGTGTAGAAAATGAGCTGGGAGAGCAAAGCGGATCAGTAGCTTGACAACTTGATGATCCTGAGGTCCCTGCGAAATGAACACACATGAACTACGCCGGGGGTTGATCCGGTGGAAACCCCTCCGACGCTCAAGTCAGATATACGGATTGCGGAGATGATAGAGAGAATTGGACTCTAGCTTGTTAGTTAATAATAAAAAACGTACCTTAACAAATGAGTAGAACATCTATTTATATATCGTTGAATTGGTTGGGCTTACTTTGTTGGGCCCAAGCCTTACTTTGAAGGAGCTTGGACTTTCGTGTAATGGGCCCACTTGTATGTGATTGGGCTTTCGTATAGTGGGCCTAACTGGTAGATAAATTTGAGGGCCCATTTAGGTATATCACAGGACGAGCTTAATTTTTTGTGGGTATGAGGGTAACGCCCCTGAAAATTTTGGTGGACTTAATAAATACATATATTGTAATATAATATAGTGAATTTTTTTTTACGTGGTTTGATTCCATCCTTGACCGAGGGTGGGCTCGGCTCTCGTTCCAAGTTACAAATTGTAACTTCATTATCGTGTTTGTAATTTCACTGTCATGTTTGTAACTAAAAATTAAATTGTTAAAATTATTTGTAATATTTGTAATTAACAATATTATGTATTATAGGATGTAAAAGAAATATAAATATTTGTAATGCCTAAAAAGTAATAAAGGGACATGATAAAGAGTTTTTTTTTTAACATTCATATACTTGGACTTAAAATAAATAATAATTTCTTCAAAACCAAATTATATTTTCAAAAATGAAATTGGTTTTTTTCCTAAAAATATTAACCAATTTAAAAAGTCCAAGTGTTGTAACTTTTTCCAGTTCGTCTAAAGCATTCATAGTATATCTCCGCATAAACTTCCTTCGTGTTTAAAGTTCAAAAACGCTCTCTTCGTTCGTTGTATTCCAACAGTTATTGTGCTACTCAGTTGGGATTGTCAGTCGTTGTATCTTGAGAGGCAATTGCAATAATCGAGACACTGTTACGGGACATTTTTTTTTTCTTAAGGAGAAAGAATGCACTTCTTCCCTCAACTTTTCCTTCGTTTCTAAAATCTGGTCGAAATTATGTTCAAAGTCTTCGTTCCGAAATACACACACCACTAACAAAATTTGCATTATTCTTAAAGTTGGATTGTGGTGTATGAGATTTAGTATTTTATAAATTAAATTTGAAGCATATAAGAAATTACATCTTAATTTAAAAAAAAAAAAACAAATAAAAAATATTTGGCAAAGGTACAATACAATTAAATGACCACCAAGGCTGTTGTGAATTTTAAGGTGGCGGTACTAAATGTAGCAAATCTAGTTAACAGTTAGCAGAGTAAATGAAGAGGGGACCGTATTTAATATGATTGAAACTAATCATAACTTCTTTAATTCGGGCTTCTGTTTCTTTTGGCTTAATTCCATTTTGCACCCTTGAAATATACTATTTTGGTACTTTGCACCCTCGAAACAAATTAATAACACTTTCCACCCTTGAAACATAATGTATCATGTATAATGCGCCCCACATGAGTTTTTAAAGCTAATAAAGGTAATTTAATATTTTCAATGGCATTTAAAAATTATATTTTTTATCACAAAAAAAATATTTAAAAAAAAAACCCTTCAGCTATTTCGTCATCAAGTTATCTGAATATCGTATTTTCTTCCAAATGTTTCTGCCTAATGTTTCCACCAACTACAATAAAAGATCTCAATCGAATAATTTAGTGATAAAAACTTATATTTGATTTTATTTTGTAAGAAAATATATTTTTTTACAATTATCCGATGTGATTTTTATTTTTTTCGCACTTTGTGCGCTTGAAATTATGTTGGGGGTTGAAAGAAATAACAATTTAATTTGTTATTTTGCAACCCGGTAAAAAAATGAATTATCATTTATTATTCAATTAAGGGTGCATTGTGAATGATTTATTGTGTTTTGAGGGTGCAATGTGCTATTATTGTTTTTCAAGGGTGCAAAGTGCCAAAGTTTCTATTTCAATGGTGCAAAGTGGGATTAAGCCGTTTCTCAAGTGTCACTATAATTTAAAAGAAAAAAAAATCGTATTAAGTGTCTCTTTAGAATCTTCAGGCATATTTAATTATTTTTTCCAACGATAGCTTAAGATTAATAATTAATTAATGAAATGAGAAAGAGAAAATAAAAATAAAAATAGGTAATTTTCAAATAATGACCTTTTCCCCACAAATCATGGCTCTTTAGTAAATTTCTTAAACATTCACCTTATACACGATACTTGAAAAGAAACTGAGGGAGTAATAATTAATAAATAAGATGTATATATAATTTATGGTAAATTAAACCTACACTCCTGAACTTAGGTATAATTGCAGTTATACCCCATCTAGTTCGGAAAATTATGAATATTTTTATTATGGTTTGATATTAGCTTAATACATTATATCAAATTAATTACACAGAGACCCATCGTACTTCAGTAATTACATTACCATTTTTTTTCGCAATCCAATTAAAAATCTCAAAACAAAAGATTTGTTTGTAGCTTCATTAGTTCGATTTGGAACACAACTTGAATTAGTGCAATTGGATTCCATATACAGTGAAGAAATACTTTCTTGAATTGAACTTACACCATGACATTAACTCACAAGTAGTTATTGATGAGAAAAAAAAATTAAATAAATAAAAAGTAAATTACAATCACACATGAGGTAAGGTCAAATTACGAAGAAAAAAAACCTCATAATTGCAACTACCCCTCTGAACTATGGATCTTTTTACACGTCCATCCTTATATTGTCAAATTCAACATAATCTTCTAGATTACGTGAAATGTTATCTAGTTTGTACTCGTTTTGTACAAAAATGCAGTTTTTGATGCACCGCAATCTGATATACACAAGCCTAAAAACACATCTTATGATTGCTTCAAAATGTGGAGCTCAAATGGGATAAAACGAGCACAAATTGGAGAATATTCCACATAATCTAGAAGATTCCACTAAATTTGACACCGCAAACGTGGGCGTGTAAGAAAATTCATAGTTGAAGGGGTGGTAGTAATTACCCAAACAAGAAGAGTTTTTTTCGTAATTTGACGTTAACTCAGGGTTGGCCGTAATTTACCTAATAAATAAATAATAGGGTAAGTTATAACCACCCCCTGAGGTATGGTCAATTTATGAAAAAACCCCTCTTATTTGGATAATTACATATAACCCCCTCAACTATGATTTTTTCTTACACCTCCACCCTTATGGTGTCAAATTCAACATAATCATCTAGATTTCGTGAAATGTGCTCTAGTTTGTACTCGTTTTGTGTAAAAATACAGTTTCTAATGCACCACAATCTGATATATATAAGCTTAAAAACACATATTATGATCATCTTGCTTCAAAATGTGGAGTTCGAATAGGATAAAACGGGTACAAAAGTGATAATATTCCATATAATCTCGAAAATTCCACTAAATTTGAAACCTCAAGGGTGGGCGTGTAAAACGATTTATAGTTAAGGGGGTGGTTGTAATTATAAACAATAGGGTTTTTTTTGTAATTTGACCATACCTCGAGGAGGTGATTGTAATTTACCCTAAATAATAAAAACAGAAAAAGAAAAGAAAAATGAGATACATACATAGATGCAACAATTTTATTTCCCTCATTAAATGCCAGTCCTGCAATTACTCAGCACTTAATTAGTGAGTGGGGTAACACTTTTGCTTCCCACAAAAAAGTTGTACATATTTCTTGAATTCTTTCTACTTTTCAGCTCTACTTTCTCTCTCTACTTTCTCGCTCATCATCATCAATTTGAAGCCATCTTTTAATTCTCAGTACTTTTAGCCAACTCAATCGTTGCCCTATTCATCACCATGCATGTATAAAAGGGATGAGCTTTTTCATTTCTTCTTTAACTTACACAACACAGAAAAAAAATAAGAAGAAACAATTAATAATTATTATTTTTTTGTTTTGGATTAAGGTTGTAAGAAAAAGGGAAGTAGAATTAATAATAATGGGTTTTGGCTTGTGGAGATTAATGCTTTATGTTGTTTCATTTTCTGGGATTCTGCTGTTTCATTGTGGCTTATGTTCTTCACAACAAGGTATCAATATATATATATATATATATATATATATATATATATATATATATATATATATATATATATATATATATATATATTTCATAACTCGATTTTTTCTGCTTTTAATTCATCTCTAATAATTACATGATCAACATTAATTTGGTAATTATTTTATTTTACATTCAGGTTCAATCTCACACGTATGCTCACTACACATTTTACGATTTGTTTTTAATTGCAGAAAAACCCCTTGTGTTAAAAAATTGACAAGAAGCTCCCCATGTTGTGTTTTTTAAAGCACACCGGTCCTTATTTCGAAATTTATCCTCGACTTATGTGAAATGACCAAATTACCCTTACAAAAGAAATATTAAAAACAGGAACAAAAAAGGAACCGAAAAGAGTTTCAAAGTGTTTTTTTTTTTTTTTTTTTACTTTTCAAGTTAAAAAATACACTTCTATTCTCACGATAAGTTGTTGGGGTTTTTTTGGTTACGACTATTTTTCACAGGGATGTTCTTGCTAAATTTTTAATGCCAAATTTTTTGACATACGGAATTTTTTAGCTACTACAGATTACACGAGGTGGTTTTTGCGAAAAAAGAAAAAAAAAACCCACATTTTTGTACGTGTATATATATATAATTGTATGCAAGTTTACCATTGTATTGAATTTTAATTTCACACGAAATTAAATAATATGTTTTGACTAATTGAACTACATTGAATGAAGTTCATTTTTCAAGGAAAAATTACTTTTTACTGCCATTACAGATCAGACAATTCGTGCATGCATGTTACTTCATTAATTAGCAATTTTTGCATTTCAAATTTCCAAATTATTGAGTTATTGACCATGCCACGTGGAAAATAATTAATACGTCATCTGAATCTTTCTCTTGAATTACTATTTGATTAGATCCAAATACTTCAATCCAACTACAATTATTTAAACAAACTTTTATTGAGTTTTTAATTACTAGTGTTTTTTTAATGAAGAATAAATTTTAATAATATATTGTTTATTTTTCTTGTGTTTCAAATTTCAGCGCCAAACTACAGTTTCACGCGCCAAGCAACGTCTGCTCCACCCATCTCGTACTACGACTACATAATCATCGGAGGCGGAACCGCCGGCTGCCCACTCGCCGCCACACTCTCCCAGAACGCCACCGTCCTCCTCCTCGAACGCGGCGACTCACCCTACGGCAACCCAAACATCACCGATCTCTCCGCCTTCGGGAGATCCCTCGCCGATCTGTCGTCCTCCTCCCCTTCCCAGCGGTTCATATCGGAGGACGGCGTGATCAACGCACGCGCGCGCGTGCTCGGCGGCGGGAGCTGCCTCAACGCCGGGTTCTACACACGCGCGGCCGCCCAGTACGTGGCCGACGCCGGATGGGAAGGCGGGCTGGTCAACGAGTCGTACAGGTGGGTGGAGGAAGTGGTGGCGTTTCAGCCGCCGATGAAGCAGTGGCAGTCGGCCGTCAGGGATGGGTTGCTGGAGGCCGGCGTGCATCCGTACAACGGCTTCACGTACGATCATCTTGTCGGGACCAAAGTCGGCGGCACGATCTTCGACGGCGAGGGACGGCGGCACACGGCGGCGGATCTTTTGAGGTATGCGAATCCCGATGGGCTTACTGTCATGTTGCATGCTTCGGTTCATAAAATCGTGTTCAGGACTAAAGGTACGCGCTTTTTTTTTTTTTTTTTTTCATGCAATTTTTTTTTTATTATTTTAATATATATTTATAACTTTTAATTTTTAAACCATATATTTTTATATTCTTAATTTATATTCATATATTAAAAAAAAAGAAACTTAGATGTATATAATTACAAATATAATGGTAAAAATTATCTAAATATTTTTTTTCTTATTCATTGTTATTAATTATTTTTAAAATATTTATTCATTTTTTAGCTTTAAATCACAGAAGTTTATGTTCTTCATTTATATTCAATAAAAGTATTTTCTTTCCAAAAATCTCTTCAATTTTTATTTTTTTCTCAACTTTTCAAATTCCCAATAATTGTTTTCATCTTCAAATTTAATAAATTAAAGAATCACTAAAATATATATTTTTTCTATGTATTTTACTAAAGAAGACTCAGAAATATTTCAAATTGATTATTTTTTTAATAAAAAAAATCCAAAATAGCTAAAATTACAATTTAAAAAAAAAAGGCTAATTGTTATAACTTATATTAATTGCTTATAATAATAAAACAGGGAAAAACAGGCCATTAGCACATGGGGTAATATTCAGAGATGCATTAGGGCACAAGCACAGAGCATATTTAAACAGTGGGACCCACAATGAAATAATAGTATCAGCTGGTGCACTTGGTAGCCCACAAATTTTAATGCTTAGTGGAATTGGTCCAATGGACCACCTCAAGTCCCTTAACATAACCCTAGTTTTGGACCACCCTTTCGTGGGCCAGGGTATGTCCGATAATCCGATGAACGCAATTTTTGTTCCGTCCCCGATCCCCGTGGAGGTTTCGTTGATTCAGGTTGTCGGCATCACCACCTCCGGCAGCTACATTGAAGCCGCTAGCGGTGAAAATTTCGCCGGCGGTGTTTCTGACTTTGGGATGTTCTCTCCTAAGGTACGCTTGTGCTCTTTTTTTTTTCCTTTTTTTTTGGTTATGAAATAAATTCGTCGTACTTTTAACGTCCCGCCTAGTTATAAACGCACAATTTTAGTTGGGAAGGGACCTACTAGATGCAATACACATGTTCTATTTAACCTTGGCGATCTAGGTTCGATTTCCTGCACACAAAAATCGAACCTAAATTCGCGTTTCACTAACAAAACAACTTTGTCACATAAATTGTACATTTATTATATATACAAAAAAAAAAGGTAAAAGAAAATAAAACAATCACCATTTTATGTAGAAATACAACATTTAGAATATCTTTCAGTGCCGATATTAACCCTACAGTAAAAATTCGATAAAATTAATAACTTTGCTTAAATAATAGTTTCTTATGGTCACGACTCGGTTAAAATCTACTAAATTATTAGTTCGATAATTTCATATTTGCAAAAGTAATAGAATTTTATCAGTCTCAACTGTATTAATAACATTATTAGTTTTTACTGGTCCCGACTCAATAAAAACCTACTAATTTATTAGTTCGATAATGTAATATTTGTTACATTAATAGAATTTTATGAGTCTCGATTTATCATTTCGGTATATAATCGACGTATTTCTGGATAATACAAAGATCGGTCAACTGTCAACGGTGCCACCTAAGCAAAGAAGCCCAGAAGCACTAGCCCAAGCAGTAGAAGCCATGGAAGCACTGGACCCCACCGCATTCAGAGGCGGATTCATTCTGGAAAAAATAATGGGGCCCATCTCCACCGGCCATCTACACCTCCGCAACCGAAACCCTAACGACAACCCATCCATCACGTTCAACTACTTCAACGAGCCAGAGGATCTGGCCCGGTGCGTCGACGGACTGCGCGTGATCGAGAGCGTGATCCAGTCGGCGGCGTTCTCGCCGTTCAGGTACGGCGACCAATCCCTCCCGGCGCTGCTCAACATGACCGCCCACGCGCCGGTGAATCTCCTGCCGCGTCACGATAACTCGTCGACGTCGCTGGAGCAGTTCTGTAGGGACACCGTGATGACGATCTGGCACTACCACGGCGGATGCCAGGTTGGGCGCGTGGTTGACTCCGATTACAGGGTGCGTGGCGTCGACGCGCTCAGGGTGGTTGATGGGTCCACTTTTGTTTACTCTCCCGGGACTAATCCTCAGGCAACTGTTATGATGCTTGGGAGGTAATATTGTAATTTAATTTGTTTCAGTTTGACTAAGGTTGACTTTTTTTTTTTTAATTTTATTTTAAAAATTAATTAAATGATGTGGATGTTTTGCAGGTACATGGGAGTGCGAATTCTGGAGGAGAGAATTGAGAGCTTGAATAAAAATTGAGTTTTTATTTATTTTTTATTTTGATTAGAATGTGGCTCTTGTTAATTAATTATCATGCAAAATTTCAAATTTGTTGTAGTTTATTATTATTATTAATTTATTATATAAGATTGTAATTTGGATGGAGGCAAATATGAAGACACGTTACGTTGTTTAAATATATTTTGTCCGAGTTGAAAATATTCTAGCTTCGTCACTGTGTTATTATATTTTATTTCTAATTCAATGTTATTTGAAAATGTTTCCACTTTCCATTTTAATATTTTAATATTGATATTACATTTTTCTTTATGTATTAGGATCGCTAGAAGAGAAGCAAAATTATGAAAGTTATAACGACAAAAAAAATTCATAAGAATCTTTCAAAATAATGAGTGTTGTATATAGGGATGGCAATGGGGCCGGTTTTGCAATACCCGTCCCGCCCCGCTCAGAAAATCCTCATCTCTATGCCGTTAAAATCGCCAAATTTTATAAGGTATTCCTATACTCGCTCCGCAAAATCCCCGATTTTTTTAAAAAGAAAAATGCAATGTATTTATAATTTAAAGACTTAATTCTATTTTTGACCCCATTTTGGGACTGTATTGTAATAGTCTAGCTAGATTAGACACGGATTTTATAAGACCATTGTAGGAGTACTCTTGTTTCCTTGTGTTAGGCCCACAAGGTTTTAATGACGCCTCCTTTTACCTATATTTAGTTGAATAATAAATTTTTTTTGGCCAAAAAAAAGTTAATTCAATAAACAAACCAACAAAGTTTAAATTTAATTTCAAATCACAAAGTCCAAAACATTATTTAGGGTGAGTAATGTTAAAATATTTAATTATTTATATTTTAATATAATATATATATATATATATATATATATATATATATATATATATATGGGAAATATGCAATACACCCCTTATTTAGAAAATATTTTGAACTAAACCCAATTGACTTTAAAGACTTTTCCCATAACCCACATTCCAATCTAAATTAGTGAGACCCCCCTTACCAGCCATGATAAGACTAAAGTGCCCCTATGTGTTAGGTTTTTAATATAATACAATTTTATTTCTCCCTCAATTTCATTCTCTCGGTTCTCGCCTCTCTCTCTTTCATTCTCTCGCTATTTCTCTCTGTTTACAGCTTTTTTTTTCTTTTTTTTTTTATTTTTTATTTTTTCTTTTTCCTTCTTCTTCACATCTGTAGACCGCCGCCGCCGGAGTCACCCTTCAAACGCCGCCGCCGAAACCCGTTGCATGAGGCCCTTCTCCGCCGATGTTGGAGATCGTCTCCCCCCTCGTCGAACACCACCACATCGACGCCTGGTACAATTGGCGGCGGCGCCTCCCCCACCTTGTCGCTGCCTCCGTCGGATTTCTATATGGAGATTTCCCTTCTCTCAACGCGGAATACTAATATATACTATATTAATTGGTAAATTTTATTTTTTATTTTTCTCGAATTAATTGTCGAACTAGCAATAGAATATGTTATGGATCTGGATTTTTAGTTCTATTATTTGTTTGTTATGAACGAATACATTGATTTTCAATTATTCTTGATTTTATTAATTTTTGTGTTATTCTACATATCCTGAATGTTTAGATCTGGAAAATCTATTGAATTACGAGATTAGTCGGTTGTGGTGCAATGTATTTTACAGAGTAGTCACGTTTGACAGAGTAGTCATGTTTAACAACTTAGTTATATTTGTTTTTTTTTTTTTTTGTGGTGCTGCATATGTTCAACAGTGTAGTCATATTTAACAGAGAAGATCAAACGGAAGATTAAGTGCAGTCGGTGCAACCGAGTTGGATACCGCAACAAAAAAACATGTTCGATGGCCATTGTTGAAGGATCACATTAGTTATTTTCGTTTTTTCATAGTCATTTTTTTTTCTTTTTGCAATGTATTTTGCTGTTAATATTGCAAGTTTTTTCAAGTGCTGATTACTTGTAGTCACATTACGCAGTTGCTAGTCACATAATAGTCATATTCCCACTATCATGTTCATTATGTTATACAAACTGTAGTCACATAATAGTCATATTCATGTTTCTACTGTCTGTTAATTATAATGTTTTACAAAGCACAGTCACATTCACATAGTAGTCATATTCTTACTGTTATATTAATAATTATGCTTCTACAATATGTTAATTACACTATTATACACAGCGTAGTCACATAATAGCCATATTCAACTATAGTCATATTCGGAGTTGTAAATCTGTCGAGAAAAAAAAAATCAAATTTTTGTTTAAAAAAAATTAAAAAAATATATTTTTTTATTAAAAAAATATTAAAAAATAATAAATAATAAAAAAGTGGCTATAAAATCCGAAAATAATACAAAAAAAAATCCTATTTTTTGATTTGGTAGCAAATTTTTAGAAATTTGGAAGTAGATTTTTAGGATTAAGATTATTGTTATGGAAATAGTGAAAAAAGGTATAATTGAGACTAATTATGTAATTGACATAAGGGTAGAACTTGGAGGTCCCGGCTAGCTGCGCAACCTGTTCCTTTCTTTTTCTTTTTTTTTTTTTTTTTTTTTTTTTTTTTTTTTTTTTTTCTTTT